CCCTGTAGTTGTTTTTGTTTCGAAGAAGCGAAAACTTCGATGCTTGAAGGTTTAACGAACTCGCAATGGTTGATGCGAGGGCCACAAACGTCAACGTTTCTTTCTTATTTTGCCTTTGACTTTCACAAGTAAAAAAAAAAAAAGTAGAAAAGCTGTGGAATGACACCCACTGCAAGTGTAATTTTTACGTTTACCCCTAGCTTTGGGCTGGGCTTTCGATAAGGGTTCGGGGCGGGCTTGCAAAGCCCCATGTGAGCTCCCCTGTGCAACACTTGTCTTTATCATGCTGAGTGGAAGTGGGATTCTGACGATGAAGATGACGACGAGATGATGATATTCATTCATGCCCAAGAGCTACTTCTTGGGGAGCATATGTACATAGGAGTACAGGGGTTGGGCATCATTAAAAACAGTGGTAATGGAACAGAAAATGTAAGGCTCTGGTATTAAAACTATATTTTTATGTATTTCAAATTGTGATATTACACTATGTCCAAAATTTCCTTAGAATTATAATTTTCAGGAAGAAGCAGTGGAAATGAAACAGAAAATTCACAGATTTGGCGCCCAACTAGGGGCTAGTTGTAGGTGGCTCCGGTATTACAAAATATATTTATTTATTTTAAAATAAGATATAATTTATGGTCAACATTTACGTAGAATTACAATTTTGAGGTAGAAACACTAGAAATGGAACAGAAAATGCACAGATTTGGCGCCCAACTAGGGACCTAAAATATTTATTTTTCTCATTTTGAGACGATGATAATATTCCTTCAATTATAAGTAAGTAAGTATATAAGCGTAGAAACAATCAAAATGGAACAGAAAATTTAAAATGGAGACGATGATAAGTTTTTAAGAGCTAGCAGAGGATCAGTGGAAATGGAACATAAAATGGAACACTGTCAAGATTTGGCGCCCAACTAGCACCCTTTGTCTTCCAAGGAAAATAAATCTCTCATTTAAGCCCTGCATAATTCACATCTTTTGACCATTGACGACTGGGAACAGAGCTCCTAAGACCCGGTTAATGACCTTCCCAGGCCCCACGAAAAAAAAGAGGAACTCCGCCCACAACCCCCACATGGGTCCAAGAAATTATGCACAAAGTAAAAGGCGCTCGAGTGCACAAAAAATAAAGAAGATGAAGCTGCGACTTGGACTGGGACTGGGACTGGGCGACTGGGATTCAGATGCAGAATCATTTTTCTCTCTAGACGATGAGAGGGGAAGGTGACCCCTGCCCAATGCGTGGCATGTGGCATTGTCTTGTGACGCGTTTCTGGAGAGGACAAAAAACAAGAAAAATAAATAAAACGGGGAAAACAATGGACTTGGGGAATGTCCCTTCAAACTCAAATCCTCAGCCATGTGATTATGTGGAGCATGTGATGGTTGAGTGTAGTTGGCTTTTAACAAAATTACAAAACAGGGAAAAGTAAATGCTTTCTCTGAGCAAAGAGAGAAGTCTTTTGCCCAGTCTAAAGCATTTTAATTTTTCTAGTTTAAAAAATCAAACATCTTTAAGTGCAGCTTCAAGGCAACTCCCAGAGCAACTAAATCGAAGTCAACTTCAATGGGTAAAACCTGAAGAAAAGGAAGCTTGTGTGCGAAAAAGTGAAAGCCAAGCTATTGACAAAATGTTCAAATGAAAACGACACTTTAGCATGCGCAGAATCCACAGTTTTTGTAGTGAAAAAAAGGCGAGAGAGAAAGAGGGAGTGCGGCTAATGCCTGCCCTAAAAGATGCTAAATAAAATCAGGAGTCAAAGGATGCACACACACAAGGATGCAGTTTATCGGGCAATGTAGAATGAATAACATGAGGAGCTTGCAACGGGGGGAAATTTAACAGGGAGGCACATAGTGCCTGCTATTATACCAACTTCATCATCATCATCATCATCATCATCATCATTATCTTTAGTGTCGTTAGAACGATATCACTTTCCTAGGTATACAAAAGTGCATATCCTGACGACTTCCTCGTTCATTGCAACGCTGATGATGCTGTCGTTGTGATATGTGGCACCATATATATATCTGAATTTAAGAAATTTTGTGAAAGTTTTAAGCTGCAAAGGTTTTTAGGAGACTTTTTTATACAGTAAAAATACAGTCTCTAAATGGGTAAAGCCTTGAGGAACTTGAAAAAGGAATTCTTGTATTAAAATTAACTAGATTTTTTAAATAACAATTAACAAACAAACATCATACGTTGGAAATACATTCAAGAACTGGCTGCCAAGTCGTTAAAATATCTCTGGCCTCTAGAGTCGCCTTTATGTTGATACATATTTCGCACAGCTGATGGCGAAACAATTTCGAAATATGTTTTCTAATTACTTGTTCGCACTCGGGCCATAAACGGAGGGGAGTCCAGGCAAACGGCGGAGGAAGTCTGAGTGAATTGGCGACATATAAATGCAAAATGCAAATATGATAAAAGAACATGCCACACTCTCTCTAGCTGGGGGCAGCCGCCTTGGGTTGATGGTGCTGTTGCACTTGCTGCTGCTGCTTTGCAGGCTCAGCATATAATTATCGCAATGCGTTTTCTGTTTGTTGCTGTTGTTCGGAGGGAGCCGCCATTGTGGCAAAAAAATGAAGAAGTAATAATAATAAAAAACACAAGCCACACAGTCACTTGAAAACGGGGGTTATTCACTCATAAAGGAGTCTTTAAATTACAAATAATTATTATAGAGAAAGCATTTTAAAATTATATTTTTATCAGTTTTATTGGTTAAGTTAAGTAAAATAAACAAAATAAGTAAGAAATTAATGATAAATATGATTTATAAAAAAAAAAACGAAAATTTAACAAGGAAAATTCCTAGCGAAATGTTAGTAGGCATTTGTGGCTATGCAATGTTGCTAGCAGCATGTGTTGCTGTTCGATGTTGATAGAAAGTTGTGTTGCCGGGCCATGTTGCTTGTGCTGCGGCCAGTATTGCTAGCAGAATGTGTTGCTAGGAGCATGTGTTGCCTAGCATTGTTCCTAGCAGCATGTGTTTCTGTTCAATGTTGATAGAAACATGTGTTGCCGGGCCATGTTGCTAGAAGCACGTGTTGCTGGGCAATGCATGCAGAGCAACAAAAAGAATATTTATAAGATGCGTAACGCCCAGACATATAGAAGCAAATGCTTTTAAACGAATCAAAAAGTGAAAGTTTCTTGCAACATGCATTGGTAGATATCCTTAACAAAGTCAGAAGCTAACGAAAAGCAATTTTCTTCAAGCTTTACTTTATAATATAAGCCAGAAGCTTACAACTTGTTTAATAAATATACCAGAACAAGCACATCTCCCCCAACATATGGTTAATGGCTGCATGAACTGAGAGAATTGCCGGAGACAAAACCAAAGTTTGCAAACTACAAAAAAAAAAATAAATAAATAACACACACAGAGGGAGAGTTATGCAGTGAATAAAAGGTAACACAGCCACGCATTTCGCATTTAAAAATTCGAATAAGTGGGTTGAAGCTAGTACAAACAGAAAGTTTATCCTCGGATCCGGAAGCCCAAGGGTTGGCTGTTCTTACCCCTAAACAGGTGTAGGGAGTGGAGGAGAACCTCGACAGGGGTTGCCAGATACCAGCGGCGGGAGGTGCTCCTTGTTCACGAGTCAGGGGAAAATAGGAATATACACTTGCCCAGCATTTCGAGTGGCTTGCTCCCTGCTGCTGACTTCGATGCAAGCACACACCCACTTTCATCCTGTCGTCCTTTCGTCCCCTCAGTTTGCCATTGTCGTTGTTGTATCTGACTGTTGACAATGTCATGCGTTAGCGTTAGGGTTTCTTGATGTTTTTCCCCCAGAAGCTGGAAGCCCTTAATCTCCTTAAAGCCCTCTACTCCTCCACTCCTTTAGCTGGCCCACCTTTCCCGGGGACCTCAAATGCAAACAGAGCTTTAAAATTCAAGGAGTAACGCGGTGGAACTTGGTGGGAAGAAAGAGTCAACATGAGTTGGGATCCATTCAATTTGTTGAGTTGCTAAATTTAGACGCTAATTTGGGGACCTGCTGTGCCATCGAGATCGTGTCTAGCTCTCAGACTGGGCTCGGCTTACGGAGAGAAGCAGCGAAGAATTGAGAGCTGAGAAGAATCAGAGAGATGCTGAGAGAGATAGGTAGAGAAAGCGAAAAACAGGAAAGAGGGCTTCAGAAAAACAGTCTCGATTCTGAGATACCTTTTACTTAAAAGGATTTCGCTTAGCTTTGGCTTTTGTAACCTCTAAGAAAAAGCTGCTGGCTAGATCAGATTGGCTGTTGATGCAAGAATATTTAATCTTCGCTTGGAAGAGTTAGAAACCTGTATAACTTTTTAAGCGCCCTACAGGGTATTTGAAATAAAAACCAGAACCCGGCTGGACCTCTTCTCAAATTACAAACTGAATTTCAATCTGCTACCTCAATGAATCCTTGGGCATATCCACTCAATGCATAGATTGCTGGCCTTATGAAAGCCAAGTTTATTACAGTCTCTGGATCATGAGCTTAGGTTCTTAAGGGTTATTGCCAAAGTCATCAAGTACTTGATATATTTTTGATTTGATGGGAAGAGAGTGAGAGAGAGAGAGAGACTTAACCTTCTTAGCAGCCTCATCAGCGACAGCTGCTGTGCCTCCAAGCATCCCCAGGTACCTCGTCTCATTTAAGGCCAACTCATTTCTTGGCCAGCTTGCGTGCTTTTTCAATTACCGCTCGGCCAGGTCTTTGAAGCGGGTCTCTGCTACAAAAAATAAGAAAGAAAAAAAATCGGAAACCCTTTTTGCTGTCCATTATATGCCGTCGTCCTCGCAAGGGGCCCAGACTCTCCGATGAATTAGCGGCAATTAATCACAGCGACATGTGGATTGTGGCAAGGAATGTCAGGGATTCTTGGCTAAAAACTACCAGCAACTAAAGATTATATTATATATATTTATATATTTCATAATTTAAATTATAATTTTTATACAATTTACTTACAGATCTTTGCTTTTGCGGCCACAACATGAGCCATGGAGAGCCTGGGCTTGGGCAGCAGGCGCAACAACGGCGGCAACTCCGCCGCCACGCCCACGGTTCCGTCGACGGCCGGGGGCGGTGTGGGAAAGGTTTTGGTCCACTCGAAGCTAAAGACGCAGCCGCAGCAGCAGCTCTCCAATCAGAACTATTATACGCAGCAGCAGACGCAGCTGCAGCGTCTTAAGCAGCAGCAACAAAAGCTGCAACAACAGCAGCAGCAACAGCAGCAGCATCAGCAACATTGCCTTCAGTTTCCGCCTCCGCCGGATTACCCACCACCGCATACCGCAGCTACTGGCTCCACCCAGAACCGACGTCAGCTACTGCCCCGATATCCCGATCCCGATCCGGATGCCATCGAGGTCTGCAATGATCCCAGGCAGGAGACCTCGCCGCATCACCTCGAGCAGCTGGCGGCGCGGCACAGCAAGAGCCTGGGCCGGCTGCAGAGCTCATTATTGGCCCATCAGACGCATCATGACTACTCGTATGCCTACTATGAGCCCGGTGCCGCCATGAGGCACTCGCCAGGAACAAGTGCAGCCTCTGCAGCTGGGGCTGCTCCAACAGTGGACAGTGGCTCCTCCTCCCCCTCCTCCACCGCAGAGACAACACCACCACCCCCGCCCAACTCCATACGAGCCCTGCTCTCCAAGGGCAAAAAGAACAAGCAGCTCGTAAGTCCCGCCACTTTGCAGTCATACCAGACGCGCTACCACAAGCTGACCAGTGCCAGGGCAAGGGCACCTGGCCAGAGCGAGAACTTTTACGAGGAGATCAATGCGGCTACCACCACCACCAGCAGCAGCGCCATCACCACCTCCTCGTTGCAGAGCACCGTGGGCTCCCAGTCGGCGGGATCCTTGGGCCAAACCCTGGTGGAGGAGGAACTGCGACGGGTGCAGAGTCGGCATCACAAGATTCTCGGCGAGCTGAATCTCAGTGTGGAGGCCATGCTGATGCCGGAGAGTCCGCCCAAGTCGATGGAACAGCAGCCGGCAGCGATCACCGGAGCACAGCCACAACCCGAGCCCAGTGTGAGTGTAACGGCGGCCAGTGGACAGCCACCGAGCATACTGGCTCGTCTCACCTCCGCCTCGGCGGATAATATCTGTGATAGGAGCGAAGGAGGAGGAGGAGGAGCAGGAGGAGGTCGTAGAGGACTGGCCGAGCAGCTGCTGGCCGCCAGCGCCGACCTGGACAGCGGCTTCAGCGGCAGCAGCGGGGCCAGCTACATAGGAAGCCTGCGTCTCAGCAAGTCCCAGCACATCAAGTGTGCCCGGCAAGCGCCCACGGCGGTCACCCAGAGCTGTCGCTCCTTCCAGCGAGCGGCCACGGTATACGATGAGACGGGTATGGGCATCGGTATGTCCTCAGCTATGGCTTCGGGATCGGGTTCAGGCAGCACCTGTGGCAGCAGCTTCCTGGCCCGCGCCTCCTGCGGCCGGCGAATCCTTAGCTGCGCCAAGATACGGGCTGCCGAGGATCCGGGACCCAACCATCTTCAACGAATCAGTGGACACCAGACAATGCCCGCGGTACAGACGACGGCCACCACGGGCACCGAGTCCAAGGCCAGGAGCTTTTGGAGTCGCAAGGGATGGAGGAAGCTGCCGGGATTTTCAACCTCCACTTCCAGTATCAACGATGCGGGCTTAACAGGTGAGTTTGCTTTGAAAATATATAAAAAGTAGGAGGATTATTTATAAATATTATATATATTCCATATAAATTCTTTATTTTTAATTATTGAGGGAGAAATTCCCAAAAACATGTTTAAAAATGTTTTGAATTTAAAAATGATTTTTATCCGTAGCCCGCCCTCTGGTGGCAATAAAATGTTTCAAGCTTGGCCATAATTTCTTTTATATGCCGCTAGTGGCGCTAGTCTTTTTCGGATAAACCTATTTTACACAACTTATTTTCTTGAATCCGAAAATTTATCCATTGTTTAAATGTGTTTCTTAAATGTTTTTATTTATTTAAAAATATTCATAAAATCAAACAAATCTTTATTTCGCTGTTTTTATTGGGGTCTAGGTTTTTCCGCTAAATGGAACCCTCTTATGTAGCAAAAATATTAGGTAAATTATCCAGGATTTCAATAATATATAAATATGTGTTGAAATAATGATAAATACAAATTAGAGAAATATTATTATTAATTTTAAATAATACTAAAAAAAGGGAATTGTTTAAAAACATAGTGAAAATAAATACAATAATATAAATAGTATTATTGCCTAAATATTATTATTGCTTATATTTAAAAATATTTATAAAGTCAACAAGAGTCACCAAATCTTTATTTTGCTGCTTTTATAATTATTATTATTGGCTTCATGATTTTTCCGCTAGATGGAGCCTTCTCATGTAGGAAACAGATTGGGTAAAATATCATGGTTTTAAAAAATATTTAGATATGTGTTGAAATAATGATAAGAAAATTACAGATAGATGGTTATTAATCAGAATTAATACTAATAATTAAGAAATAATTTAAAAATATAGTGCAAATAACTGAAAACAGAGCAAATAATACCATAAATCACAATAAATATTTTAACAAATATATTTAAACTAGCAATAATAATTAAACCCATCATAAAAATATATTTATTAATTATAATAAAAAGTAACATGTTAAATTATATAAAATATAATATATAAATTTAAATATACATATATTTTATTTTTTATATATTTCAACACATTTAGAAACGTTTTATGTATGTAAATTAATTATTTCTAGCCTATTGGCTTATGTGAAAATTATTTTTGATAAAAAAAAGAGAGGAAAAAAAAGAAAATCGGTTTATTTGCTATTATCAGAGGCTTCGCATGCGGAGCGAACATCAGTGAGCCGAACGAACCCCAAAGAGGCAATGAGTCTGGTCTTTGGGCACATGCTCCGCTGACTCCAGTCTCGTTTTTTATTTTTTGTGTGTTTACTTATTTTTATTTTTTTGATTTTGCCTACTTACTTCGGTGCGCTGAGCTTCGGGTATGCGATGGAATGGATTCGTGGACGCGGTTTCAGTAGAATCGATCTTGTCGCGGATGCTGCATGCTCTCGTTTAAGCGCGGTCTCAGTGTTGTGTTGTTGTTTTTATGTTTTGTGTGAAAGAAATTCACCTAGAATTTTAACTAAAAGATGAATCGGGAATCGGAATTTATTTAATTTAAAATTTATTAAAAAACAATTAAAAGAGATGGCCTTTCAGCAGCAACAGCAGCAACAACACTTGCTGCGCCGCCATAGCCATCTGGGATTGCCGCATCAGCATGCCGCAGGAGTTGTCCTGCTAAAATGTAGGTGAAGTCTACTAAAAAACATAAATTTTATAATTAATTATGCCGAGACACTAGATCGAATCACAGCCTGAACAAGGCCAAATTAATCAGTGAATCAGCCAGGCCATATCCCATATTCCCCTCGTCATTAGTTTAGAACTATTTCTGTGCGTAATTGTGACTCACTTATAGACCGATTTGTATAGTGTTGCCAAAAATAAATATATATATTTGAGCAGGTTTAAACAAAAACTGAAATTGGACAAAGAAACTTACATTTTTAGAAAGGATTTAAGACCTTAAAAAGTATTTAAATATATTCCTAAGCCTTAAACCCTTTTTTAATAAATATATTTAAGCAATATTCGCTTAACTATTATAAATATTTTATATAATATTAAAAATATTTCAAACTTCAACAAAATTTTATCAGTTTCTTTATCTTTTTTTGTTCTCAAAATGTTCGCTCTTTGCATTTATTCCTAGATTCCTTTCAATTATTCATCATTCAAAGTGTGCAAAAAAGAAGTGAAAAAAAAGAGAAAAACGATTTATTATTATTGCACTTTTGTGTTATCATTTTGATTCTCAGTTATTGTCCATTTTGCGATTGTCTGTTGGCTTTTGTGCTCGATGATGTTGATGTTGCTGCTGGATGCTGGATGCTGTGCGTCTCTTGACAGTCATCTGTGGCATTAGCAGCTCGTGTTTGAGTGCGTCTAAGCACTCGTTAATCACGGTCGCCAAGGCGTCTCATTTCCTACTCCTTCTCGTTATTATATTGCCCAGAACACAGCCGCATAGTTCGTTAGCTTAACCCACTAAAGCTATCCTCCCCCGCCTCCTCCTCCTTTGGCATCTGAAGCCAAATCAGGTTGCAAGTTTGTCATGTACAGCACGAAATTCGTGTAGCCTTTGGTGCAATTTTTTTGTAGTTTTCGTTGGCGGCTGCTTAGTGAAAGTACTGCAAACAGAAAACGTTAAAAAAAGCTTACTTAATATATCTCATTTTGGAAACACACCTGGAATGGCAGCAAAAATAAATAAATTACTGGGGCAAAAAACTACACAACGAGGAACAGCGAGACAACACCTTTGTGAATTTGCATAATAACAAGCGCAGCAAGAAAACAATATCTGACCGACAATCGGTTAACTCAACTTATCTCAAATTGTAACAAAAACCGACTAGACAATGCCTGAAAGTCATAGAAAAATATTATGCAGTTAAGTGTATCGATTGTAGATTACTATATATAGTCCGATATGATATATCGAAAAAAATATAATTGCAGTCAATAGCATATCGAAAATGTCATACAGTTTTGTATATCGAATTTATATTGAAAATGTCATCGATGTATTGCAATTTAAACTATCGAAAATAATTAATCGATTTATATTATCGAAAAATATGATTGATTTTAATATTTTCAACCAATAAAACTTCACTACGTTTTTTAATCGAAAATATTATCGCAATTTTAATTATTAAAATATCGCATTGAGTGTTAAAATATCGAAATTATCGAAGAAGAAATTGTGAAAATGGAAAATTTTGAACCAATAAAATATAAACATGTTTTATATATTGAAATTATATCAAAGAACTCATTAAGTTTGATTATCGAATTAAAAAAAAAATCAATAACATAAAACAAACTTAGAAATATGTAGAATATGGACTTATCGGAGTTCATATATAAAATTTCAATTGCTTTTATATACATGAATGTAACATATCCATATGTTATATTATTTATTTATAAAAATTTCAATCTTTTTTATTTTTTCTCTCTATTTCCCTCGTTAAATTACATTACTTTTGTAGGCCATGGGCAAGATGATTAATGGTCAATACTTAGCTGCCGGTGTTGCTTCTGCCCGCGTGCTGTCAATGTGTCGAGGCTCTGGACCCAGTTAGCAACTCCTTGTGGCCTCTTTCAGTTCCCTCCTCTCACACCTCTTATTTTCCTGTCTCGGCACACTCGTCCAATTATCGCTGTCGCTGCCAATTGAAAGCCATAAATTTGTCTAATTTCGGTCCACTATTTTTTTTTTTTTCGGCCAAGCGCCATAAGATCTACGTACATTTGTTTTGGTTTGTGGTGTTGACACGATTAAGCTAGGCCGTCAGGATAGGTGAGGATTTATTTATCAGGCAATATTTATAATATTTTTAAATAATATTTTTAAAGTTGGTTTTAATTCTGATTCACTTCGTTCGGTTTCTTTCTTAAAATAAGGCCGCAATGCAATTGCTTTGTTAGTACATTTTTCATAAGAACAAATTTTACTTAAAAATTTCAGTATAATTCCCAACTGGTTCTAACATCCCTCTAATCAAGTTACGGTTGCCGGCCAACCCTTAGTGGTTTTTTTTTCACTTTTGCATGCAGAGTAGTGTTTCTAAGGCAGACTGGGGTGTACTTACTGGTGTTGTTTTTGGATTTTTAGATTTGTTTACGGATCGGTGGAAGCTGGAAAATATATTAGACGGTTCGAGTGTTAATTCCGACTTGACTTATTGATAAATTGAACTACAGTTACCTTTCCCTAACCTTAACTTCAGCTATTTCTTTTTGGTGTCTGGCTTCTTCGTAGTTTTTCTTGCAAAATGGCATTGTCTAAGCCAAATAGTTGCACAATTCCTTCAGCTCCCATTGACTTCCCAACAGAAATGCGGACAAAAATGCGACAAATTAAATTGGGATCAGGCAAAAAAAGTCTTCTTTCGTCGCCGGTTGCATGCCACAGATCACTTTGTCCGAGATTAATGTGGCAACTATCCGCCACCTACACTTGGAAAAAACCAAGGAAATCCATCGAATTTGGATATTTTTAGAACCATTGATATTATTATTAAACAAAGAAGTGGTTAGAACTTTTTAAATAGAAAAAAACCTTTAAGCAACCTTTCTTTATTCTATTTTTTCTCTATATTATTATTTTGTTTTAATTTTTCGGTTCAACTTAACTCCTCCCCCCCGAAAATCTATTTAGCCCCCTTTTCTTTGGCAACTAATTTGGCTGACGGCCATGCATTTTAGCCGCATTGCGCATACGCACCGTTGACCCAGCCGCTTTACTTTCGTCTCAGAATTCGATACGAAATTCGAATTAGAATCCAAACAACAAACTGGGCCAAGTGAGTATAGATCGGTCCCCTCTCCCCTTCCCCCTTGGCCACCCCTCCACTCATTTGATTTGCCCCACTCTGTCTCCGTTTGGTTAATTAAGTTTTTGTGTTCGGCTGTCAGCAACTGGATTGACTTGAAATAGTTGCAAGCAAATGTGAGGAGGAAAATAAACTAAAGGAAAACTACTACACAAAAAATAATGTGGCTGTGCGCGACGAATGTGTCTAA